TATCAGTAACTGCATAAATACAAACTTCAAATGTATTATCAATGTTGCCCATTCCTTGAATAATTTCACTCAATTTTTTTTTTTTCAAATAAAAAAAATGCTAATCACAAACTATAATATTTAAATTTTTAAGCACAAATTACACAAGCCACTTCTTAATACGCAGTAATTCTTTCGAATTCTAAAATTACTCAGCAAATAAACACTATTTTCTGCACAAATTTTTTTTTTTTTAAAAGAAAAAGAAAAAAAGAAAGCTAAACAACTAGAGTTAATGTAAAATAAAATCCATGAAATATGCTAGTTTAGTGCCTCCAAAGGTTTTCAAAACCATAATCCAACACAAGTTACAATTTTTAAGTACGCAACTATACATTTAATCAAAAGGGTAACATTTTTTAAGCATATTTACTCAAAAGGGTAACGTTGTAGCTAGAAAACGAGACATACAGAGGAAGGGGTATAGTTACGACCCATAGAAGGGCCACCGGGTTTGTTCATAAGAATCCGCGTGTATGGATCACAAGACAAGTAGAGATTCTTGAGCAAAACCTCATTGCAACCTTCTGGAAGCTTCAAAGTTATGGAACTTTCAACAATGTTCATATCTGTTTCTTTAAGAAAACCAGACACATAGTCCTTCAGAATCACTTGTTTGTTCTTCACTTGGGCCATCCTAGTTTCTTGTTGGTTTGAGTCTCTCTCTCACACAAACAACACAAAAGGATTAGCAAATTTATAAAGGGAAAGAAAAGAGACGACACAAATGATGATCCCAAGGTGGAAATGAGTCAAGAGGCAGTTTGGTACCAGATAAATTTTTATTTATTCGGATATCTCAATTTTTAAAAATATGATTTTTACATTCAGTTTGTGATAATATCTAAAAATTTAAAATTTTAAAAATTTCAATTTCTCAGAAATTCGGGAAAAATCCGTGTACGAAACGGCGATTATATTTTTTTATATAACGGGAGATAAGATATCTCATGTTGCACTGACAAACTTACGTGGGTCTCACTATACAAGGAAAGAGAAGAAAAAAATTAAAGTGAACCCACCACCTTTTTGAGTGTGTAGAAGAAACTTGTTGTCTCCTATCACACGAGGCTAATATTTCGCGTGGCATAAAACAAAAACTGTGTCCATATTAGAAAATAATATAAATCAAAATTAATCATCCAATACTATCGAGCTTAGAATTATAATAAAATTTTAATTTATTAATTACATGAATTATTATATTGTATAGGATATTTTATCTATTTTTTTATGTCTACTTAATGTCATTAGATTAGAATTTCGTGTAACTTTCATATTTTATCCCTCTTCTTGTAATTCTGATCCAATGATAATAGAAATAAATAGATAAAGTAAGTATGAAAATAGATGAACATAATATTTTATCACTTATTATATATAAATAAAATTATCCGTTAAAATTTAAATATTTTATCCTAACATAAATTAATCATCTTCCTTTTTAATATGCTGGTAATATCTGTTGTAAAATATGTATTCTAATATGTGAATGGGCTTTGACTTTTCATATGTATGATAATTTATAGATATCATATGACCATTGGATATATTATGCAGATATATTGAAGTGTATTTATTTTCTTGTTCATTATATAAGGATATGACTACTGTAGAAATGAAATTAATGAATAATATGATGTCTGCAATATTTTCTTAATTTCTCTTCACTTCTCTTTCTTTATTTTAATAGCATGATAGTATCTATCATTTTATTACGTGTTTTATTAATCTCATGCAATAGGAGAAAACTCTTTAATGCAATAGAGATAATCATGTGTGGGACTCGTCCACTATAAAAAAAAGAAAAAAGAAATAAAAAATAATACGAAAATCGATGTATGTCTAGGAGAGAAAAATTTTCTCCTACAACATAAGAGTATATTTTTCCTTTTATTATTAACCAAAGAAAAAAAAATTTGAAACCGTGACACCTCTCTCTCCTGTGAACTCTTTCCATTCTCAATTTGTGAATTTCGCTTTCATACAAAAACCATCTCTTGCTTTTCCTATTCGCCTCATGTGTGTGACCGAGTGTGAGTTAGTGATTAACATAACATAAAGAGCAGTTTGAGTTGTTGAAGTTGAATATTCAAATCCAAAGCATCACCTTCCCTATTAATCTCTCATCCTCCATATGGTTGTCTCTCTGCACCTCGCAATGACAGCTTTACTCATGGCTGTCTCTGCCTCTACATCCACCGCAGGTGTTCCCAAGAAGAGGAAGCGTACCACCGTCGTTCTATGAGCAGGTTCTATACTATTCTATTATGGTTAAAATGAGTCCAGTTTACAAGACTGAATCATGCTTTCATTATGGCGCTAGAAGGAGAATATAATTAAGGGTTTATCTACCCTCATTTTGCATATGATAAGAAATTTTATGTACACATAATGATGAGGTGACCATCTAGAAAAAAAAATTGCATCGTTATCAAAGATGTATATGAAGAAAAACTTACCTCATATAATATAAAAATGGATTTAGATCATCTCATATGAAAAAATGGTTATGTTATTTAATTACAACCACTTATTTAAAAATGAGATGTTCATCTAAAAAAAATAAGTTGTATGATTATAAAAAGATGTATAGGAAAAAAAACTTACCTCATATAACATGAGAATATATTTGGATCATCTCATATAAAAAATGATCATGTTATTTGATCACAACCGCTTATTTAAAAATCATATATTTTTTTTATTTATCTCATCGTCAATAATAAGTGATTTCGATCATATAATATAATCATACGATTGCTATCACTTTTACATATCAGAAGAATCAAATCGCAGTAGAGTAGTTTTTTCCATAGTATAATACTATAATCATGCTTTCTAGTCATGATTGCACGTAATGCTTTTGGACTTTGTTGTTCACATAATGCTTTTGGACTTTCTATTCATGCTCTCATTATTATATGTTTCTGTTTATTACTTTTCTGAGTTAATAACTAAAAAACAATGGGTTTTATAAGAGTTATGTTGTAGGAAAAGTGATTGTGTAATGTTATAGAGATTCGTTTTGCGTGCCTTAATTTTTTATTTATTTTTTTGTTTTAAAAAGTGTGGACCCCACAAAATGTTGTGAGTGTAAGAAAGTTTGTTATGTTATGTTAAAGAATAAAACGAAAACCCAAAAACAATTCATGCTTGTCTATGCAGTCTTTGATGTGGGGCCATTAAATTTATCAATTTTATAAGCTCCTGATAAAGCTTTGCACCAACTTTTACTTTCCATGATAAAGTGATGAGACTAAATGAAGGAAATGTTATGTATGTTTCTGTCCACGAGTCATTTCGTGTATAGAAATTGGAGGTATACCCCTTTTTCAAGGTTGGTGTGTTGGAGCTTGCCTTTATTAGCCCTTCCTTGTCTCTGAATTGGTCTCTCTCCAATGGGGCTTTCTGCTCCATTTACACACAGTTGTAAGGAACAGCTATCATTTTGTCACGCTTAACAAAAAAATTTACTAAACTATCACGCCAATAGTAAATTTTGTCAAATTGCCACGCGGCATATTTCGCTACACTATGTAGCGAAATATGTTTGCAAGTAATTCCCTACACAGTGTAGCGAAATATGTCATGTCAGGCTGCACAGTCAACAAAAATGACACGTGTCAAGCATGCAGAATTCAAGCATAATTCGCTACACAGTGTAGCGAATTTCTGCCTGCTTGACACGTGTCATTTTGCTTAATGATTATAGGGATTTGCTTAATGTTTTATTTGATGCTAGAAGCGTTAGTAGTTACGCCCTTTTCGATGTATGAACCACACAAAAGCCTAGATTTTGGGCTCTTTAACAACTGGCTATGATGCACTTATAGTTGATCCATTGTACATAGCTCAACCATTGATTCAAGAAACTTGTAGTCAACTAGAATTGTGGCATAAGTATGACTCAATTGTTGAAAGAGGCAATGATTTGAAATAGAACAAATTACAATCGAATCTAAGTTCCAGTAAAGCAGCAAATGTGATTGTGATTTGTTTGAGAAGAAAAAGAAAGCAACATATTTGACGTGATTTGAGATTAAAGATTTGGGATGTATTTTGAATTATTTATTTGTAATTTTTTATTTATTTTTAGATGTTAATTAATGTTATATTTATTTTAGAAAGTTTTATTATTTTTAGATTTAGAATTTTGAATCAATTTGTAATTAGTCTATAAAAAAGTGCTCCCTTATTCTAGGAGTTGAATTTTGTTATTTTGATAATAGAAATTGAGAACCGAAGAGTTACTCTTTTGATAAAATCCCAACTTTCTGTTTAGCCACTTTTATATGCGCTTTCGGCATCAGGCTAACTTTGGGAACAATGCAACATTGCCATAAATAAAGTCATATTTAAAGGTTTAGTAGCATGGATAGTCCCCTCAGAGAAGGATGGGAGAATTAAAATTGATGTGTTTTATTTTCTTATAAAAAGAAATTGACTTCCTTTGTAATTATCCCTTATAATAATAAGTTTGTAATTTAAATTGATAAAGGAAATACAAAGACTTTTTTGTCCATATATACATGAAAGAGATTTGTCAATTTTTCAAATAAAAGAATGTCCTACATTAAAACTTGGATTGAGTCATTTGGGGCTGGTAAGAAGTGCTTCTCCCTTATTAGAGTCCAAACCCCAAATGCACCCCCAAAAAAAAGTTCATAAAGCATCAGCAGCAACATTGATGATTTATTATGTACTGTACAGAATCATTTTCGTCAACCAAAATCATTTAGAATTTCAGTGGTCGTAGTAAGTTGATTTGAAGGAAAAGGTAAATTGTGAATCAAATATCTATTTTAAGACGTGAAATTTAGAGGTATCAAACTTGCGTACATATAAGGATTTTCCTACTGCATTTCAAAGGTGTAGTAGGACTGGATGATATGACTGCAAAGGTGATGTAAAAGACTGCTAAATTTTCAACAAAAAATAAGAACAAAAACTGATAACAATGTATAGAAAAAGCAAATGCTTTTTTATTCACGAGCAACAAGTATATAGTACTTTGATACTGCCCACAAGACAATCAGCAATAGAAAACATCATCATACAGTTCAGTAAGATGACTGCAAAGGTGATATAAAGACTGCTACATTTTCAACCAAAAATCAGAACAAAAACTGATAACATAACAATGTATAGAAAAAGCAAATGCTTTTATTCACGAGCAACAACAAGCACTTGTTTTCCAACATTTCGACCACTAAAAAGGCCAACCAATGCTGCAGGGCCATTTTCAAGACCCTCGGCTATGTCTTCAACATACTCAATCTTCCCTTCTCTTATAAGAGGCAGGACGAACTCCAGGAATTTGGGATATAGGTGATAGAAATCAGCTACAACAAAACCTTGCATACGAATCCGTTTATATATGAGAGATGTTAAGTTTGTTACACCTTCAGGTTGAGAAAGATTATACTGTGAGATCATTCCACATACAGGTATGCGGCCATGGATTCTCATATTCAGCAGTACGGCATCAAGTGTCTTGCCCCCAACATTCTCAAAGTAAACATCGATGCCTTCTGGAAAGTGCCTGTTTTGTGACATACGCTAGTCACTAATGTGTTTTATTACTAAGGATAGTAGTGTAAATTTTAATGGCCATAAGAAAAGTTCATCTAAATTTCTCTATAACAAAACTGTTAAGTAAAGACCTTTTCAAAGCTTCATTGAGGTCAGGCTCTTCCTTGTAGTTAAAACCTCCATCGAATCCAAATTTATTCTTCAATAAATCCACCTGATTGAAAAATAGATACATTCAAGTGAAAGGAGGACTTAGTATTTTTTGTTTCTAGTAAAAGAAGAATCTATTACAGGCCCTTAGTAATCATAATCCTTCACAACAATTTCTTTCTATTCAGAAATTTAGGAGAAAGACAAGTACCAATGTTAATCTATGGCACAATTAAAAAAATCATTCCTCATTAAATCCCGACAAGCAAGGATAGAGGTGAAGGCAATTCTTATACGCAGCCTTTATCCTTACATATTTGCAAAAGAGGTTGTTTCCCGGACTCAAACCTGCAACCTTTCAGTCATAAAGGAGCAGCTTTATCACTGCTCTAGGTTCTCCCTCTAATCTATGGCACAATTAATTTTGTAAATTTCTTCTTCCGCCTTCTTTGGATAAGGGGAAGGGAATTGGATACTGCTTTGCTAGAGCAAGGGTATATATAGAAGAGGATACATTTTTTTTTATATAAGTAACCAGATATTCCATTGACTAAAAGGAATGAAATGTATTTTAATTCCACCAATAATCATGGAAAATTGAAAAAAAAAAAAAACATGCAACATGTCTCAAAGTCTTCACTGAGAAAAGATTTCTATTTAAAAGAGAATATTGCTCAAGCTCGGAAAGAAGAAATATTTTTATAAGCTAAATATGCTAATAAGAAAAACACTAGTATTTTAAACTACAGAACAAATAAGGAATAGGTGATGCTGAAAAAGTACCTTTTCTTTAGTTCCAGCACTTCCAACGACATAACAACCCGACAGTTTAGAAAACTGCCCAACAAGTTGACCAACTGCACCAGAGGCAGCTGAAACAAAAACATTCTCTCCTTTCTTGAGAGAACCTACTTCAAAAATACCCGAATACGCAGTCATTCCTGGCATACCTGTGTTCAAAGATGAGCATACATTGGTCAAATCAAAACACAATAAAATGAAGAGGAAGAATGTATACTCAGAATATTAAAAAAAAAATGTATAATATAAATTGAGAAAAGTTTACCAGAGTTGTGGAAATAGACATACAAAATATTTAGCTACCAGTTCCAATTTCCAAATGAACATAACAATGTTGGTCAGCCAATTAATCTAGTGAATCAAAGATCAATTCAAGCCAAATAACTTTAACTGAACAAAAGAAGAAAATAGAAAAGGAATATAGGAAAAAACCACCAGAAAACCACATTCTACACCATAGGTTTCTTATATGATGGTTAGCCCATAATCTTAATGACACAAGAATAACAGGGGTCCAATTATCACACGAAAACTTTATACAATGAAAAAAGCCATTCAACGAACACACAGAAGCTTGCTAGCATGCTTGCCAACATTCAATCTGAAGAAGAAGAATGTATAATCAGAAAATAAAACTAAAAAAGTACAATATAAATTCTATAAACTGAGAGGAGTTTATCACCGAGACGTGGCTGTGACAGATACACAAAAACATTGAGCTTTTGGTTCCAAATGAGTATAAAAGAAAGTCATTTAATATTTTTTCTCCTCAAAAATGAAGCTCGTAATCCAGATACTCTGATGAATAAAAAGATCAATTCAAGCCATATAATCTTTCATTGAACAAAAGAAGAAAATAGAAAGCACGTATAGGAACAAATAGCCAGACAACCACCACCACCTAAGCAATAGGTCTCTCTTCTTTGATGATTAACAATTATCTTATTGATAGTAGACAAAGAAAGGAGCTATTTATCACATGAAAAAAAATTTAAAGTTGAGGCTTGCAGATCATATAGACATCAATTGCATCATTCACTAAGAATCAATATAAATTGAAAATGTTGAATATACATACCAAGAATTCCAGTATAGTAGGAAAGTGGGACATCAGTGTGCTCAATTTTGAAATGTATTTGAGCTGAGGGGACCAAGCTATACTCTTCCCACTTAGTCAAACCCCATATTAAATCACCTTTCTTATAATCAGGGTGTCCAGATTCCAGGACTTTAGCCACACCATATCCTCCTAATGGCTGAAATTACACAAAAAGTTATCAGTAGCTGCTTAAATGCATGCTTAAAATGTATTCTCAATGTTGCAAAATTTCACTCTCAATTAAAATAATAATAATATAAATAATAAAATGCTAATCACAAACTATAAAGTTTAAAATTTTAAGCACAAATTACACAACCCACTTCTTAATATGCAGCAATTCCCTCGAATTCTCAAAGTTCTCAGAAAACAAACACTATTTTATACACAAAAACATTTTTTTTTTTTTAAATGTTAAACAACTAGATTTAATATATAATAAGATCCATGAAATATGCTAGTTTAGTACCCCCAAAGTTTTTCAAAACCATAATCCAACACAAGCAGCAATTTTTAAATAAGCAACTATAAATTTAATCAAAAGGGTAACGTTATAGAGATCGTGACTTACAGAGGAAGGGGTATAGTTACGACCAACAGAAGGGCCATCGGGTTTGTTCATAAGATTCCGCATGTATGGATCACAAGACAAGTAGAGATTCTTGAGCAAAACCTCATTGGAACCTTCTGGAACCTTCAAAGTTATGGTACTTTCAACAATGTTCATATCTGTTTCCTTAGGAAAACCAGACACATAGTCTCTTAGAATCACTTGTTTGTTCTTCACTTGTGCCATCTTAGTTTCTTGTTAAGTTCTCTCTCTCTCTTCTCTCTCTCACGCACAACACAAAAGGATCAGCAAATTTATAAAGGGAAAGGAAAGAAACGAGAGAAATGATGATCCCAAAATGTAAATGAAATAAAAAAACGGTGTTGGTGACGGTGCGTTTTTCGTTTCTTTTGGAGAATGCCATTGCTAAGTTTTATTTTATTTTATTTATTTATTTATATATTTTTGTAAGCTAATTTTTTTTCTTTAGGTAATAAAATATCGACGAATAAAATGTTATACATATCTTTTTATGTCTATTTTGAATCATAGTTATTAGTATCATAGGACAAATAATACAATTCGTGCGATCGATACAACTTACAAGCGCAATAATTAAGGGAGTAAAAGGGTCAAGTGACTTAACATGGGCTTACAACCTAGTCTACATTATGTCAAACTTATCCTATCCTATTACGTAGAGTTAACTAGAACATCTCAAGCTTTTAAAAAAGTCTATTTAGAAAATAAGATATAGGTTTTCTTTTACATGTCAAGCCTAAAGACTTACAGAAAGGCTTATATCCTATTATTTATTTTTTAAATAAAATAAATAAAATTAATGTTTTAATAATTTTGAGCAAAAAAGTACTATTATTTTAATTATTTTCTTAATTAATGAATGTTTAATAGGTTTAAACAGATTAACAGACCTAGGTCAAAGCTTTTGTTTTTTAAATATAGGTCAAACCAAACTTATAATTTGAACCTACGTAAGGCTAACAAACCAGTCAGTCCTATAGTATCTTACACACGCCTGACATATTTAAGCCGAAGTTTAGTCCAGCCCAGCTCATTTACACTCCTAGCAAGCTAGCAGCGATATATATCATGAGGTGTATCAGAAAAATATTTGAATCGGACCATACCATATGTATCTTATATCATACATTACGAAAAATTAAATAAAAATTTGTAATTTGTAATATAAAAATAATTAAAGATTTGAGTTATGATTTAAATTAAAATATATATATAAATTATTATTAAAAAGAAAAAGAAAATAAAGATTTGATTTTTAATTTAAACTTAAAAATTAATTTAAAAAATTCATATTATTTTATTTTTTTATTTTATTATATTATATTTTTGTATCTTACGATTCTCGATACACAATATAAAAAACTGTCTAAATGGTACACAATACGTCTTGTGATGCTACAACCTTACTTTGGATTCTCATCTTCAACATCGTTAGATCAAAATTTTAATTAACCTTCGTCATTTCTATCTGCTCATTTTGGTCTAACAATGTTAAACATGAGTAGATAATAATAAATAAAATAGGCATAAAAACATGGGACATGATCCGTTTACAAATTTTTTTGAATTTTTTTACAAATTACACTATATTTTCCCGGGAGAATATAGTGTAGTTTGTAAGAGTTTGTAAACAAAAAAGTTTGTAAATATAACCTGCCCCTAAAAAAACATACATAATATCTTATTCCACTATATACTGCATCACTATTAATTGGATACAAGTAATTAAGAAATGGAGAAAACAAATACAGCATTAAATCTTTCAAAATTATTTTTAAATGGTAAAAATAAATCCTTTTCGGTAAAACATTATTATAATGAAAGCTAGATATATCAACAATAAGTGAAAATATTTTCAGTATTAAGGTAATATTAAAAACTCGGTACATCACTTATTACACTTAAGAAAATAATTTATCTATTTACATTTATTTATTTATTTTTATTTACATTTATTCTACCTGTTTCTTTTATGATTAAGATCATATTAGTCATACTTTGGGTAATTAATGAATACTTGTTACGGGAGTATTAAAATATGCTAATGTCTAATTAATTAATCTTTAATAGTTAATATTTTTTCTATTTTTTCAAAACAATAAAAATAAAATCAACTAGTACCTAATAATTTCTGGATTTTGTCAACATGTTCATGCTGTGAATTAAAAATAAAATCAACTATTTCCTAATAATTTTATTTCATTCCTTTTTAAAAATAAATAAATAAATTTATTCTAATTGTTAAAGCAATTAAAATTTTTACCGGAATTCCGTCGTATGTAATCAACCCGTATAAATACACGTGCATAATTGACAATAACTAATATATTTTTATTTATTAGATTAGGAAAGAGTAAAATTTTCTTAACATGAATTTTATATTTATACATTAAAAAATTATGCTTTTCAATTCGTATGGATTGACTACTAAAAATAACTTTAAATTACATAAATGCTTTCAAAGAATTGAATTAATCAAGACTTTATTTTATGCCATTATTAGAGGCATTAGTATCAAATTTCAATGGTATCATAAACTCAATTAATTTAAAAGTATATTGACATATCATCCATTGCGAAGTTTTTTCTTTCTTTCTAATTTCTGGCCTGATTTATTATTTGTTTAATTAATTTGGTCGAGTTGAATAGATTTATATAAGCGATAAAAAGATATTTACTAAATTTTTAATATGGTATATATCCAGAATTCAAACTTGATATTATTAATTAAATTAAAATAACTCTATATTAATTAATTGGTTAAGGTATTTGTTGATTCTATTAAATGTTTTTGATAAGGAGTACATATGTTATTTTTTATTTTTAAAATATTTTTCACTTGACATGTAACAGTAATTTTTTTATCATAGGATAAAAAATATTTATCAATCTTATTTACATTCGACAACTTTAATTTATTAATTACATGAATTATTATATATATTGAATAAAATTAACAGTTAAAATTTAAATAATTTATCCTATCATAAACCTTTTTAATATGCTTGTAATATCTACTTATTTAGTTAACGAAAATATTTATATTGGTAAGTAGGTAATGAATATCTTATATCTTTTATTAAATGCTTCTAATTATTTAAATAAATAGGTATTAACGGTTTTTATTAATGATTTTAATATTAAAATGTTTTATTTTCAATTTAATTTTTTTTAACGAGTACATTAAGACTGTACGTCAATTATTTTTCAATCAATACTTATTTATTATAATAAATTAAATGATTGCGTATTATGATTAATAATATATCAATAACTTATTAAGGGTCTTTCACAATATTTTTACATTTTTGAATTCTTATTTTTAACTTTAATTTTAGGGAAAATTTTAAAAACTCCCTTATAAGTTTTCTCAGAATCACTTACTCCTTCCCGAAATTTTTAAACATTTGCATCCCTATTTAAATTTTTTTTATCATTTACCTCCCTATCTTGATTTTCCATCCAAATTAAAGTTAATAGAGTTAATCTTTTAAAAAAATACCAAAACTAACCTAAAAAATGAATTAACCCCTGCACTTAAACTCACCTAATGCTATTTCATCAAACTCACCTAATACTATTTCATCAAACTCACATTATGCTATTCCAAATAATTAATGTTGAAATTAAAATCTTACATATTGAAGTAAAGGTCATTTTTGTTAGTTGGAAAGGGTACATCAATCTAAATGTTCAGGGGCAAATGTAGATCCAACACTAATTAGACAGACGTTGATGCTTACAAAGGATATGAGCATAAGGAGCTTCACGTATAGCTACAAAGCTATATGCAAAGTATTAGTGAATCTACTGTTCCATTACATTCTTTGAAGTACCTTTTCCAACTAAAAGAAGTAACCTTTACTTCAGTTTGGAAGATTTTAATTTCAGCATTAATTATTTGTAATAGCATAATGTGAGTTTGATGAAATGGCATTAGGTGAGTTTGATGAAATAGCATTAGGTGATTTTTGTTGGGTTTTGTTCTTTCACTAAAACCAAATAGGGCCTAGTGTATAAGAAAAATCCTAAAAATCTAAAGTCCATTCAGCTTAGGGCTAGTGTTTCTTAGAACCCATATATATTCTACACTTATAGTTATCGGCCTCTCTAGTCTTCACTTGGTGGTTGCAGAGGCTGAGGTAAAGTCATCTCCCTAAAAGTGAGAAAGTGCCCACACACTTCTTATTTCCCCTTGAGACATAGTCTGAAAGATCTGTCACTGTCCAGCTTCAAGGAGGTTGTTCGTTGAGGTGAGTGAAAGTTAAATGGCCTTGAAGGCCGAAGCATGTGAGAGGGAAAAACAAAAAAATTTCTCAAGCGGAATCACACATGCAATCAAGACTTATGCTTTAAGACAACATGATATAACCTTTGTTTGTGATTCAAACACCAAGGAGATCAGTGTCAGGTTTGAAGGGTTCAAACCCTCTGACGTTGCCACACCACCCACATCAAGATGCAAGAACTCTTTCTTGAAGAACCACCAATTGATCACCACAAAGAGGTTTGCTATGTGCTCAATAGGTGAAGGAGAGGTAAGGTGAATGTGTTTAGAAGAGTGATATTTTCAGCAAGAAAACATCACAAAAGTGGCGCATAGAATGGAGTAGAATTGGCTAGGTGTTTTTGTGAAAAACCCTAAGGAGAACCTACCCAAGTTGGCGCACAAGAGTGTGACGAGAGAGTCATGATGCAATCAGATTTTTCACTTAAAAAGCTGATTGAGGTGGCGCACAAAGAGGGAGAAAAAGGTGGAGTTGTTGCAATTCAAAATTCCCAACAACCTACCTTTGAATCCTCATGAGACTAGGTCTTAACCTAGTCAAAATTCTGATCTAATGGCCATCATATGGGCAGCCATATGTGTGCCCCCTTCAGCCCCAGAAACAGTCCAGATACGTTGTGTAGTTGCATTCAAATTTGAACCAACTAGCTCACTGATTCTCTTAACAAACCAAATCTGATTTGGAGCTTATTTGGTTGACAAGATGACACTCACAACAATCAAAGTGGCGCCCCAAATTCAGCCTTGGATGTGATCAAAGATCTCCTCTTGATACTAGGGATTTGTTCCAACAAGATCTTATCTTATCCTTTTGTTATGAAACAACTTTTCATAGCCAATTCAAATTCGAATTCAAACATTTAAATTTAAACGTTCAAATATTTAAATTCAAAATTCAAATTCTAAATTTAAATTCTAAATTCAAAATTCAAATCTCAAAATTCAAATTCAAATTTCAAATTTCAAATTTCAAATTCAAAATTCAAAATTCAAAATTCAAATTTAGAA